CTAGGGTATATCGTCCGTCTTTATATGAATCACGCGACAGCACCAAAGGCCAACGAACCAGGGTCTTTTTTTTTCCCCCTTTAATTTATAGTCCGACATGCTTCTTTGAATTGCAGGTATTTTTGGTTGGGAAGATTGTTTTGCCTTCCAAAAACACTGGCGATTTTTTTTTTTTTTTTTTTTTTTTTTTTTTTGATATGACAAACCGAAAACATGGTAGAATATTTATGATACGAGAATTTTCGCGTTCAAGTTTTTTTTTTCCTCCTTTCTATGCGATTTTACATTGCAAAGCACGTTAGAAGTCTATTAGATGATTTATCAGCTTCATCATGCAAAATTGGTAAAAACAATTTGTTTCAGTCACTCCCCTCCTCCTCCCATGTTAGAGACGTGATACGATATTTTGACATGATACGATCAGTTACGTCGATATTCTCTGTTTATGGTTTATTCCTATTTTTTTACGACTTTAGAAATTGAACGCTTTTGTCTAAATTTTGGAAAAGTTTGATGTGGAATTCACTTGATTTCCTATACAGCCTATTAAATTATACACACGTTTTGCGGAACTTCTTTTAAACTGGTTTCCTCAAATTATTCTAGCTTATTAGCTGATCCCTCGAGGCAAGTTGAAAATGGCATCAAAAACTTCAAATTTTGAAGTTAATTATCCTGGTCAGTATTTGAAGTACGGGAGTCAAATTTCTTGTAATTTTATTTTTTTCATAACGAGTATAAAGCGTTCCCAAATATAAGGATAGAGCCGGTATCGAAAATACTTTTTTTTTAATTTGACATTGCCCAAACATGAATATTTTTGTTATTTAAAGCGCTTCTGTAATTGGAAGTATATGACTATGGCGAACGATTTCGAAAATAAAGGCCGTGTAAGTACTTTTAAGACATGTAAGCCGAGCAATGGAAAACCCCTGGTTATATTTTATGAATTATGTGAATTAGGTGTATTATTAAAGAGTAAATTAACGACGATTGAAATTATTGGTAAGCGTTATTTATAGTTTCCTTTTACCGGTTTTTTTAAGGAGTTAGGATTTGATAAATAATGATAGACATCGATTGTAACGTGGAAAGATAATGCTCTGGAAACGCATTACTTGCAATGTTTCGTGTAAGATAAAATTATTGAGCCTACGTTTCGCTCACTGATTATATGATGTTAAAAAGCAGGCCAGCCTAGTTGGTATAGCAGTTAGCGACTCTGGCTGCTATATCATCAGGCCTGGGTTCGAATCTCAGAGAAGACTTAGACGTAATGATCCACAGATTCTGAAAAGAGTCCACAAATAACGGTTCTAACATCAAAATTATATAAATTCATTATTTCAATAAAAGAATAATCTATCATTATTTATTATTGATTAAAAATTAGCGCTTCTACTCTTTTTTTTTTTTTTTTTTTTGTCAGAAGAGGGGTGGGAGACCTTAAGAGATCCGTCTACCAAGGATGCATCAAAACAGAAGCCTAGTAGTGACCGAGAGGCTGAGATTGTCTGAAGACTAGTAGTTCGACCCGGCTTCGAACACAAGTCAACGGATTGGCTGTATAGTTGTTGTTTTTTTCCTTCCATGCGAAACATGAGTACGAGCCAGGTCCCCTCAGAAAGTCTTTCACGGAGTTATTCTTCCACTTAGGCAGACATTCCTCGTTACCTCTGCCATATTCGAATAGCCTGTCAGAATACGGACAGAACTGTACAGGTAGGCGACTACACCTGTAAAACCATTCGTGAACTTGTGTTGTCACGCCCACATCTTCCTTTCCTGTGTAAGAAAGCGTATTTGTTAATTAGAATGTAGAGTCCCAGGTGGGTTAACTTCTATCTGAAATTGAAGTAACAGGAAACTACAAAGAAGAAGGGTTAAAGTATATTAACTCTTAAAAATTTACAATGCGTCAACTCGAAGCTAACAAACTTCGCCTTTCCTTGGGCGGTAACTGTGAAAATCATGCAATTAAACTAAAATATGAAGATATTAACAAACGATAGACCTAGACTACAGAGCTCAGCGAGATCCCGTAACTTAAATCCTCTTTGAAGCTAGTGGCAGCAAATAAATGCACCTAAGCCACTTGAACCAGCAATAAGCAAACGTACTACCTACGGAGACGGCACTAAAGCTAACTCCCTTTCTCAAACTCGCTTACTACTTCTTAAAAAGAGAAAATGGCATTGCCTTCGCGCGCACAACAAACTAACTGGCACTGACATTAGGGATGACGCTTATAGGAAAGGTCTAACTCAAACTTTAAATTGTTAGTTAAAATAAATATAAATCCCTACAAGAATGTTAAATGTTGTCCATGACAAAAGGTATTTTTAGAAAAGAAAATGAACTTTCTTATAGCAATTTTTTTTCTCTGCTGACTTTATTTATACTATTTTTTTTTCCTTTCGCCTTCACGTACAGTTTTTATGGTACATTTAGTGTTCATATTCATTGGCAATAATTATACCCGTTGTGAAGCTGAACACATTTCTGATATGTTTATTGTATTGTTAGTAATAATTTCAGTATCTATGCTGTCTGGTAATTACAATAAATGCACTGCTTCAGAACGTGTTTTCTAACGTCTATTTACCGCATTAATAACATCAGACTCGACCATTATTTTTTGCACATGCTATACAAAAAGGGTGTGTTCTCGAGAATCTTCTGCAATTAATAATAAACTATCAGTACCATTGTCGATGGGCTTATTCAAAGCTCTCACAATTCCTTTAAAAATCAAAGCACATTATGTGCGATATTTAATTATCTCGACCTTTGAAGATCATCACGTTCTTAATGAGACAGAGCTGGTTTTCCACTAATTTAACCTTTTGGTTAGAACGAACTCTTGTCTTCCCATCATTCTCCCAGTGGACTGACCAGACTACTCCTTTTACATCTTCTGGCAATGACTTTCATCTTTGTCTTCACACAAAAAAATCTTTTTGTAGTCGCGGATGATCCATAGATTTATCTGATTGTATCGACAAAGACACTCGATTAGATGGAGCACTCTTTAAGTGACTCATTCTCTGTTATATCTTTGGAATAAAAAGTGAAAATGTTTTTGTTGTCTAAAGGTAAAAAAGAACAGCTGTTAGAAAGTTTTTAGGTGGTTTTTTTATGTCTGGTTCCCACAGTCGTCGTGTTACTGTTCGCTAGTCATGAGTGACTTCCCAACAACACCGTCTTGGAACATTTAGCTGACGTCTGCCGGTCAGTGACTCGTGGGGGGTCACACTCCACTCACAGTCCAAGTTGAGCTTGACGGAAGTTTGGGGATTCTAAGAAAGTGCTGAATTCATAATAAATTTTTCTTCTCTTTCAAGCGAGAGACATAAGATGAGATCTATTGCACTTATTTTTAGAGTGTTTAACTTAAACTATTCATGCAGTGACTGCTAAAAAAAATCAGCTCAAATTTCAGAAAGAAGGGGGAAGGGGAGGTCATTAAATAACTAAACGTCATCATTTCAGTTAAAGCTGATATTTTGGCAACACAAAGAGCAAGTACAATATTTATATCCAATTTTTTTTTAAATTTTATATAAGATTTATATAACAACTAGCAAAGGATGGCTATATATATATATATATATCAGCTCCTGGAACTTTGGCAGCTTACTACATTCTAATTACTTATTTTGAGCATATGCGCAAAATTTTTCTAGACCAAATGGGTCATACGTATGTACTAACTACCTTCTTGTTAACATTATATATATTTATATAATAGATATATATATTATAGCCATCCTTGCTAGTATTTGTATAGATATATATATTTGTATAATATTAATTGTGTCCCAGTCTTGAATATTTATGAGTTCATATGTAGCTCATGAGATTTATCATCGATAGTCAAAAGTCTGTTATCGATTTTTTAATGATGACAGCCTTTTGATTGAAACTGCTTTTCGAAACGTAGAGTTCAAATTTTGTGTACCCACTGTTTTTGAATGACAATACAATACATGAAGCGTTTTTATATTCAAAATTCGATTTAGATTTTTTTAAATTGAATATTGAAACAATTTTTCATGCATATCTTCAGTTTAACTAAAACAAAATTTTGCTTTTTGCGTCTTCGGATAGAGAGGGAAAAGATCTTAAATGAAATTTATGTAAGATATTTCGGTGAAATCCCTGGAATGTTTCGCCTATTAGGGGTAACAGCATTGGTCGAAGTAAAAGAAATATTATTCTTTGCTGGAAAACGATTTTTCAACTGAATAATTTAATTAATAATATATGTCACGAAGAATAAAAAGATAAAAATAAAAAAAAAAATTGGGAACGAAAAGATTTCTTGTGGGGGGGATTTCTTGTGGAGCTCGAACTCGTAATCGGATTCCGTAATTTGAACTCAGCTCAACGGAAACTTTTTTATTTTCAAAATATCAAATTGTAAAGAAACTAACAGAGAAAGTATTGCTAAAAACCTAATCAAACCTTGTTATAATAGGAATAATCATGACTCAGCAAAATAGCCCTCGATAGATAGCTCTGACCGTGACAAAAGAGTCTAAATATCTTAATTTCTAGTTCAGTTCTAAAACACTTTTTATGAATATCGACTTCCTTCGATACATATCCTTCGACAAAATTCACATTCGTGTTCAAAACGTGTTCAACTAAAGTATATGGCCAATATTTTGCTCTTTAATTTCTTTAAAATTTAGACTTTTTTTGGTGGAGGGAGGGATTCGTTTTCTAAAATTGTAATCTACTCATGTTTGCTAAATTGTTTCACCCTCTCAAATTATAGGGTAAAGATTAAAATACCTTTATTTTAATGGAACATTAAGAAAGGGACCCCTTTTAAATGCAGATAAGCATAATCGGTTAAATTCAAAATCATACTTCTTTGCCAGAAATATAAATATTCAACATTAATTTTGCTTGCAAGTTAATAATACGAAGTGAATACCAGCACAATTTAATATCATTATAATTGATTTTAAAATATTTTTTTTTTCCAGAGGGAATGCATCAGCGTCCACGTTGGCCAGGCCGGAGTCCAGATCGGCAACGCCTGCTGGGAACTATACTGTCTGGAGCACGGAATACAGCCGGACGGACAAATGCCCAGCGACAAAACGCTCGGAGGAGGAGATGACTCTTTCAACACATTCTTCAGTGAAACAGGCGCTGGGAAACATGTGCCAAGAGCTGTCTTCGTGGACTTAGAACCCACTGTCGTAGGTCAGTAAACCTTGTAACTCGTGGATACGTTTATAAGAAATTTTATACAACAGCTTTTTGTTCCAGTGTACATGAAAACTTAAACAGGTTGCCGAGGTATAAAGGCTTTCTACTTTGTGAAAATTTGCATGGTTATCTTTAGGTATCAATCCATCCTCCACTAAAGAGAAGGTTGTCGGTCACACGCTGCTAGGACGCACGGAATTTGTATTAGTCTGGTCTGAATTTATTGCCTTTTAGAATGCCGTGGTACTCTTTTATATCGCCTGTCTGTATTTAGATACTAAAAAAATGGATGTGGACAGCACATGACTTCCTTGTACGGCCTACTGAATTATGCATATTTTTTGCTGCGCTTCGTTTTAACTTATTTCCTCGAATTTCATTAGAGCTATATTTCTCATTCAATCAATTCTACTCTCGTTCCGAGGCAAGCCATAAATATATAAAAACTCAAAACACATTCATTAAAAATTGTAAAATAATAAAAAAAAAAAAAGCTAAAACACTGAATACAATTACAAAAACAGGTAAAAATTAATTTAAATTAAATTAAATTAATGAATTTTTGGAATGTAAGTTATAGTTTCTACGTAAAAACAAGCAATTCGACCAATGAGCAGGAAGACAAATTTTCAATGCACCAAAGTTTAGCAACTTTCGCCCTACTAGGCTGAAAGATACTAAAATCGATGCACCAACTGACTTAATTCACTATACTACTAAGAGTTTCATATGTAAACAAAGTCCGCCTCGTTAGGCTTACTTCCTCTTTTAGTTTTAAATTGTTGATAATTCTGTAATAATTGCATGCAGATTAACTATAGATATAGAAAACTTAACTGAAACGCAAGAACAACATAATTCAATCTCTTTTAAAGCAAAAAAATGCACAATTTACCAACACATAAAAATAAAAAAATAGAGCTCACAGAGCCGAGTAAGGGGGTGGGTGTTATATATATGCACGTATGGTACGGTCGATTGCAATAAAAAAAGGAAAGTGCACAATTCGATGTTATAGTAGACCCATATACAAAATTCCAACTTTCCACGGATAATCGTTTTGGAGTTATCTCAGATATATGCATACATACGTTCAGACGTCACGAAAAAAATTCCCTTCTGAATTAATTTTAAATCCGCTATACAATCCTTTTTGTAAAAGAACACCCTTTATTCTGTCCATACATACATGGGCGTCAAGCAAAAAAACTCATCCAACTGGATTCTGGAGCGGACAGAATGGATATTTTTCTTGAAATATGATACCCGAAAATTTTCATGATTACAATACTTCGATGAAAAACATCGTACAAGGAAGTAAAAATTTAAAAACTGTTTATTACTGCGAAATCCAGTTCAGAAGCCTTTGATTTTGACTATTTTGTCATGGGCTGTTTTGTCACGGGCTATTTTATCGTGGGCTATTTTGACAGGTATCAGGCAAAATGTAAGATAAAAATTGCTTTTTTAGATAATATTCAAAATTACATTCGAACTTTGGCAAGCCAAAACTGAACAGCATAAGAAAAAATTCCCGGTGATGGAAAAGTTGACTTATTGAAAAAATTAACATTTAAATTCGAAATTCTACAGTTCGACATCCAGTTCTATTTATCGAAAATTTTGTCAAAGTTCGACTAAGAAGTTCTATATTCTTTCTTAAAATAATACAATTGTAAGGTATATTTTAATTTTATGACAGGTTTTTTTTAATTTTAAAGTGCTTTCCTATCAATTCTTGTTTCCACTTACAACTGCCGACCAGAATGCATTTTTAGAATCGCGTTGAGTGCAAATGAGAAGTAGATAGTAGTTAAAGAATGTTCAGTTTACTTTCTGAAAGAGAACTAGTAATCCTGAGTAGTGCATGTTTGCCTTCGGGCTAAATCTCTCTTGAAGCTGTTACGCTCAGCCGGATATTACTTGTCTTTTGATATTCGCCTGCTAGTTTAAATTAAGGGCCAACTATGTTATATAATTGTGTTAACTTCCGCTAATTCTCTAAGTTTTAATTTAATTATAATTTTTTATTCTGAGTTTAAGCCCAAGTGGAGGCTTTGTTGTGAGCCCCAAGAAAGGGGCCAACTGTTCATTTTATTTTTTTACTAAAATCGCATCCCGGAGAGGCTAAAATTGATTTCTACCGTTTTCCGTTTCTCCGAATTCCATTCATTTTTAATGAGAAGACATCAGAAGACTAAAACTCGTCACTGCCTGAATTTGGTTCATTGAATCTCGTTTCTTTCCACAGTCACCCTTTAAATCTAGGAGAATGTAAGGAATTATTGCATTTTTCTGTAGATAGACTTCCTAAGCATTTATACCACATAGAGTGTTCTGGGAATAGTACCAAAATGTCTTACATTCGTCCTCGCTTAGGTGATTGGAAAGGGCACGAGACCAAATCCAGGTGGTAATGAATTATTATTTACAACATCGGGCGTCACTATGGTATGTATTAGGTTTTTTCAAGTCAGTAAACATGGAAAATCAACTATGCTTTCTCCGCAGTTCGAACCACAGATTTTCCATATACCGGCTGAGCGCCGCCTGAGATAACCATTGACCTGACTTTGTTGTAAGTCTTACAGTGTTAATAGTCATCCTGGCAAAAGGGCATATATCCTCCGTGTAAAAATATACATATAAATATTACATGGGCATACAAGGCCTGTGTGTAAGGATAGATATGTTGATTACAATCATTGTCTTGTACAAGTTACATAGGATAGATAAAATCAGACAGCATAGGGTACATTTAAACATTATATGAATTCATATTTACAGTACCTTTACTGAGATAATCAAATTAAACTTGTAATTCATTTACGCATTGACTGGATTTTCAATATCATTTAAACTGCTTTACAATATTATACTCGTATATCGGCTGGATGTACATCACAAGAGGACGGACAAAGAAATGCAGTAACTCCTTATATTTTTCCTCAATTAAAAGGCTACTATGGAGAGGCATGAAATCCATTTGGTAATAAATTATTATCCATCATGTTTTAGTTCAGACGCTGATATAAAGGAATTCTTTTTCTTTCTTTCTCTCTCTTTTTTTTTAAAGTCAAGAAACATGAAAGTCTGCAGTGTTCAAAAATCTCGAACCACGAAGCTTCCAGTGGTTAGCTGTATATGCTATCACTCACACCATTAATGCGTGCATGGAATAACTTCTTTTATTAATCTTTTTTTGTGTATGTGTGCTACTTATTGTTGGACATGCTAATCTGTTATACTATTGGAGCGTATATGACGGAAGGCAATAACTCCTTTCAAATAAACTTGGACAGTTAAAAATCATGTATTGGGCGTAGATTTCGTAATCCACCATAAACCGAAGTTACCTGTTTGCGCTATGAAACGTGTTTTACTTTTAAATGGGAAAATAACGAAAAACCATTGATTTAAAAAAAAACATAAGATTGATTGATTCAGTGCCATTTCTATCCACCTGTTCGATTCAATCGGTTTAGATTAAGTGTAATTCGGTGAAGTAGGTTTTGGCTGTAAAACTTATTTTGATTAAGTTTTACAACAATTTCTGTCCATTGTCGATCACTTCCGTGTTTGTTTGTGAGTCTTTATCTCCAAGGTAACCGATGAGTCTTTTAAACAACGCATTTCTGTGATACGTTTTGAAAAGCCTGAATAATTTATGAGAGTTTTCTCTAAGTTGATAATCAATGATATCAGAGTCTGTCACTTCAATAATTTGACAAGTTTTTAAGCTGCTTTTAGGTGTCGAGACAGATCAGATCGTTCATATGATTGTTATACAAATGAAAGCAAACTGGTGTGTCCAGACAGGAAGTGTTTTTCGTGAAGAATAATATAGTTTTTATATATGTATAAAGACTTTTATTATTCAAATTTTTCTTTGGGTTATCAACACGTGACGAAATGTTTATACGTTACTATGCAATCCGAAATTTATATACTGGATGGCAACTGTGATTATTTCTGACATTAACCCCTTACACACAAAAAAAAGGGACAGAACCGATTATCGATATTTAACTTGCTTTTTTCATGTTTCGAAAGTGCAACATAGGGTATGTATGAGATTTATATACAGCACCCAAGTAACACGGCAACGTCATAACGACGTTGCAAACTGGTCGCGAGTCGTGTTGCAAAAACGTTGCAATATGTCGTCTTTAAGACGCCCAGATGTCCGCGAAGCTCAACTGTTTTGCAACCGTTGCTTAGACGTCTTTATTGCATGATGAGGTTTTTGTCGCATAGAAGTCGTTATTGCATCTTTCGCAGTGACATTTTGGTTGTGAAGCATCGTATCACAACGTCTTAACGACGCCAAGTGTTCAAAAATTCCACTTTTCGGCACAGTTGTGAAAATGTCGTTACTATGTCCTTGTGTTATATATTGATTTATACGAAAAATAGTTTAATAATTAATGTATTTTTCTTCTTTTTTAAATTTTATTCCTTGTATTTTCTAAAGTTTAAATAGTTTTATCATTTTCTGAAAACCAGAAAATAATACAATTTTTTTCTCTTTAGACTAAATATTCTTAATTAATAATAGCCTTAATTATTTTCAGTACTTTAAACTATATTTTTAAAATAACTTAAATTCTATGTTACAATTATTTAAGATTTTATCATTTTTTTTTCTTTACGTGAGAGTAATTATGAAAGTGGTTATTATAAATATGTAACATTAATACCTAGTTTTAAGTAAGTACAACTCAATTAGACATAATAAATAAAGTATAAATGTTCATCACAACAACTTATCACATTTATTCTGTTAAATCTCAGAGACATGAAAATTGTCCCTGTCATGATAAATTAGGAAGTGGTTCTTAAGGTAAAATAATCGGTATTTTACCTGAATTCAGTATATATTTATTTCGCGTTTCAGAGTAAAAAATTATAAATTACCTTCTAACTTCTATATCTCCAAATGCAAATGACTATAAAGTAGTTAATAAATGTGATCAAAATATTCATAAACTATA